CTAACTTTAACTTTTTCTGGTATTATAACTAAGATATTCTTAAAAATTGTAAGCCGTAGTTTATTTTTGACAAAATGTCCATGTTTTTTCTTACGAGAGCGACAAAGTATACTTAGGTACTTCGATTGCGAACATATACTTTACTCTTTATACTTTGAATCGTTTAAAGTATTAAGTCGGTTTGGTGAGCAGTTAATATGTGTTTTTTTATTATGAGGGCGGCAAAGTAACCCCTTTACTTGTCTGTGAACTTATATTTTAAATCGGTTAAAGTATTAAACACAAAGCACATTTTCTATATTAAGTGGACTTTTCTTTTCATTATGAAGGCGGTAAAGTATACATAGTTATTTCGATTATGGATTTGAACTTTTATACTTTAAATGGTTTAAGATATGAAATGTTCTCGTTCGTAAATTGACCTTGCGGGCCTTGGGGAGCGATCGGCAAAGTATCGACTGAAAAAAATAAATTAGGCGGGGAATAATAGTTAAAAGGATATCACTCGGATGTGCGTGCGCATATAAAATTTGTTGAAATATGTGTGTAAACTCCCGCTTAATTTACAGCGAAATCATCCTTCCAAACACATAGCGCGTTTGTTTACTTTGCCGCTTAGAATTGGATAACGAAAGAACTGATATCTGCTTTTTATTTTCCGAAATCCGGCGCGATAATCGAAAGATCGGTTTGTGTATCGTATATCAAAAGCTAAGTGGAGCGGATCCATAGTTAAAAAAGAAATATATAGGATACGGCCGGCAGTAAATTCCATTAAATAAAGAATTATAAACGGCCTCTGTTTTCACAACTTTTTATATAAAAACCTATAAATATAAAATGGAAGTATCGTGTCAAAGAAAAACTGTACAGTGTAGATGTATTTATTTAAAAATCATGCCGCAGTGAAATGTTTATTGGTTCAGTACTAAAAATAAAACCGTGATGCCTTAAGAGATGTTTCAAAATTAAAAAGTCGAGTAAAATCAAAATAAATACTTCATAATCTTAATCGGGAAGATCGCTTCTTCGATTTATTATTAGCAAAATATTTTCGCCGAGTGGATGCGTCTAGTACTAGTCGAATCGTACGTCCCGGGTCCGTGATAGAAGCGGAATTAATATACCGGGTGATTTTTTTTAACCCGACACTTTCAAATATCTCGAGAGATCAGCACCCCCTCCCCTCCCCCCCTCGTAGGTGGAGCGGGGGAGGGAGGGTAACTTTAAAATCTTAAATAGGAACGAACCCCTTTTTTATTCCAATTTTTTGATTTATAGTAGATGGCGCTGTAAGCGATGAAATCAATTTTTTTCGATTTATTGTACTGAAAACCTAATACATACGATTCCGCATACATTTGCAATAAAAAATACCACGTTTTCATTGTAAATAACCAAAATGAGTGTTAAAACAATTTTATTTCTCAAATTTTTAATTACTGACAAATGACAAGATACTACTATTATGCATTACGGACGATTTTTTCGTAGAATGTTTATACAGGGTGATTCACAAATGGTGACCACAAATTAAACCTCGTATTCTTTGGTGAATTTTAAGGGGAGTCTTTGATATAAAGTTTTTATCTAGGACGCTTCGTTAAAAAGATACAGGGTGTTAAACTTCAAAAAATATTTTTAATTTTTTTAAATAATTTTAAAACGGGGTATCGGTGGCATATTTTTCTAAATAAAATAGTACGCCCTCGCTTTACGGTAACAAATTGTCGCACCATTCGAAATATTGTGAATAAATTTGAAGAAACTGGTTCAATTCAAGATCAAAGAAGTAAAATTTACAGTCGTAGCGGTCGTTCACAAGAAAATATTGCAGTTGTCAATGATAGTGTCACTGCTGAACCAAACACGTCAATTCGTCTTCGTTCACAGCAACTAGGCATTAAACAAACCACTTTACTCAACGTTTTGCATAAGGATCTTCAGTTAAAGGCTTACAAAATACAGTTAATACAAGAATTATTGCCAACTGATCTTGGATTACGTCATACATTTGATAATTGAGTTCTTGCAGTGAAAGAAGAAAATGATGATTTTTTTTAATAAAATCTTTAGTGATGAGGCTGACTGAAGTTGATGAATATGTAAACAAACAAAATTGTCGTATATGGGGAGAAGAAAATCCACGAGTAATATTGGAACAACCAATTCATCCGCGAAAAGTAATTGTGTGGTGTGGTTTTTGGTCTGGTGAAGTGATTGGTTCATACTTAATCGAAAATGAAACTGGAAACATTACTATGAATGCTGCACGATATGGAACGGTGATAAAAAACTTGTTATGGGATGAATTGGAGGGTATTAATGTGCAGAATATGTGGTTTCAACAGGACGGTTGAAACAGAAATTTGGTAATCGAATAATTTCTCGAAGAGATGTTAATTGGCCACCAAGAACATCCGATCTATCACCATTAAACTTATTTTTATGTTCTTTTTTTTTGAAGAACAAAGTGTATGCGGACAATCCTCAAACTATTCAACATCAGAAAGAAAACATAATTCAACAAATCACTCAAATTTAACCACTATTTTGTGAACACGTGATGGAAAATTTTGCCAAAAGATTGAAAGCTTGTAGAGCTGCAAGAGTGGTCACTTATCTGACATTCTTTTCCAATATTAACCGCAACATGTCTACTATATTCACTAAAGTTATCTAGTTATTTCAAATAAATTATGTTTTATTAAAAAATTAAAAAAGTTGAACACCCTTTGTAACAGAAGATAACAATAAAACAAAAAGTAGCGAGATGCAAACCGTTGACTCAAACCAACCCACAACCGATTTTAATAAATTTTATGAAACAAAGGTTTATAATATCATAAAAAACTTTATTAGCAGTTAATAAATGAAAGTTACTAATTTTATTCGTCCATTTTTCTACATACTACTCAATTAAAATTGGAGTCTTATATTAACGTTTAGGAAAACAGAAAAAAAAATCGTGTGGTTTTAGTTCAAAATGTATTATAAAATCGGGGAGAGGTGCTAAATATATTTACTTCTTTATATTTGTAACCTACATTTTATATTTTATTAAATAGAACTTTGGAAGAAAACAAATGAACTTTTTATATAATCTGACAAGTGTCATTTTAAATGACAGAAAAGTATTATTTAAGAGAAAAAATTCCAGATATTTTTTTCGTTGCCGTAGTAACATAATTTGATTGACTGTAAAATAAAGGTGAAATTTTCACAAAAAAAACTGTTAACTACAAAGTAAATTGTATCGTTGTTTAGAATATATGTACACTAAGATTGACTCTGTATAAGTCACGTCACGTCCTGTAAAAGTTGTAATAAACCAGCCCCTCCTCTTTGTTAGACATAAACCTCAACGAATGCAGGACTAGTTTTGTCAGAATTTTCATATAGATATAAAGGATTTTCAATTATTGTTTGTTAAGAGTTCTCTTTTCGTACTCCACGTATTAAAAGTGCTATTTTAGCTTTCATTTTTGAAAACAAAATGTTAAACAATAGTAAATTGTTGCGAATGAGATTGAATCAGTAATTTTACGCTTTTGTCAAAGTCTAGTATACGAATTTGGCATTTCTCTCAAAAAAGCGTCTGTAAGTTCATACACTGAAAGAAATGGGCTTATTAAACTGTTTATCTAGAATAATGTGTACAGCGCACATTAAAACATTTATAACAAATATACAACTTTTATTAAAAAAAGCAATCATCTCCATACTCCTTATTCAATGAGTTTAACTGGAATGTGCTTAATACACCTTATGCATCTATGAAATAAAGGTTATAATGAATTACTTATACATTATTAGGTGTTATAGACTTTATGTTCCAATTGTATAGTAGGGAAGATTTGTTGTATAAAGACCAGCATCCGAATTTGTATATAACAATTATATTAACAGAATTATTCGTTCTTATACCGAATATGTTTCCGTTTTTAACGTGTAAAACGCGTCTTATAATGGTTAAGTGATCGTCACCTCTCGGTGCATAAATCGGTTATGATCGTAAAATTTCCGACAGTCCGCTGTGCATCGACTTACGACTATTACACGTCTAGTTTCATGAAAATGGGCAGTATGTGCACATGTTTTGTGGGATACATGATCATATCGCGTTGTGTGAAATGGAAAATTATTATGTAAGTATCTAACTGTTTTATGGCTTGCAATTGTTTTGTTTTTTCAAATGTAAATCTTGTCTAAATCTTAAAAATTATTATTTTGTAGGTCCTATTAGAAATCGCTGATGTTAAGTTTTACATAAGATGGAGGAACAGAAGGTTAACGGTGACAAAGAAGAGCATGGGTATAAAGTCAATCAACCAGAGGAAATAAAATTATATGGAAAGAAGCTCAACCTTTCTGGGGATGCTTCATTCTTAAGGTGGAAGAGTTATAGTGCAAATTCTCATGTAATACAAGAAAATACGGGTGCATCGTTGCTAAGAAAATAAACTGGACAGTTTTGGGAGCGATTTGTCATCATTTTTAATGCTTAAAAGTATGTTTTATGTATGTTTACATTAGAACCTTAGCTTGTAATTACAGTTATCCAATAAAATTTCTGAAAACTTAATGACATATGTTTTTAACTCATACAGAGTATACAACAGTTTAATACATTTATTATTATAAAACTTATAACCAGTACTAGATGTTCTAATAACGATATGGAATACTTTAATAATAGTTATTGCTATTATTTCGTAAAGGGTATAAAAAACGTTATATACTAGTTATACAATAATTTAATAAAGAATAAGGTTTATAGTTACTATACAACTGTGCTAGCAATACGCGTTTTATATCCAATATTCACCTGTTTGGAATTCTAATAAAGAATAAAACGTATTTCTTTCAGTGTAGAAAAATGCAGAGTCTTCAGCGCTGGACAAGGCATGGCTCTTCAAATGTCTTGTCACATTAGTCACAAGAATTTATAACACACGGTACAAAACAGGTCATTTCCTTTAATACGTATGCCCCTGTACCCTTCAGGATCACTGTCAAACCACATTTCAAATAATTCCCGTCTATTTCTTTTCTCTTTTGGCATTTTACTTCACTTTCCCCCCCAACTAATAGTTGTTAATGTAAATCATCTTACTATTTATAGTTATTTAAATACACACGGCGAATACAATGTACAGCAGACGTAAAAAAGAATTGTAACTGCTACAAGGTTCCGTAAATAACTGAACAGTTCAAAACGCGAGTCAGCTGTGAAGGCCACCGACCCTTGCGCCGGCTCTGTTAGACTCTGCACGTGCACTAATAATAAACAAAAAGTATGTTCAAGCTTTAAGTTTCTAGTTTCAAGGTCTTTAGACAAACATTTTTTTTTTGGGCTATCAAAAGAAATTTCCATGGACATTTTTCCAAACTCAATCAATAGATATTGTCGAAAAGTCTCCGAGCATCTATTGGTTGTCGATATATCGATGGTCGAATGAAAAATAATGGTTTTAAAAACTGCATTTTAGTCCTCTGGTGTTTAATATAGCAAAGGAATTTAAAAACTCACCTGTCATCCGGATCACAGTCCCTGAAGCCCTTGGCGAACGGGTTGCTGGCTATTTTTAATTGTGTTATCTAAAAAAAAAGAGGAACATCCTTATAATAATCACGCCGGCTAAATATTTACTTCTTAAATTTAATCTCATTCAGAAATCCCCGATCACTTCTCTTTGAAGTGGAACCACAACAGAAAAACTACGGGGTATAAATAATGGCCGGGCAGCGCGTAATTTGTGCTTTGTTTGAATTTTATTAATTAGTGCGGTCGCAAAGCTAATAATTTCCACTAATAAAACCTTTGTGTTGACCGTTCAGCGTAAACAGTTTTTTTCTCGGGCGTATATATTTTTCAACTTGTTTTATTCATTTTCCCAATTGCGAAAGGTTTTAATGTAAGCAATCGGAGGTTTATGGAAAGCCCGCTATGATTTCTCGTCTTGCGGCGGGGCGATGCTCTTTCAAGTTGGGCCGAGACAAATGAGTCGCGATTTGTACCCCTTAGAAAAATGTATTTTTCTGGAACCCGGAGATTTGTCGGGTTATATTTTTGGATGGAGTTTATTAAATTAAGTATCTACGTTGTTGTCCAAAAATAGCCTTTAAGACTAACATGGTCTTTAATCTCTCGATGTCTTTTAATCTCGAAGATTTAATGATTCATTATAATTCGCTGATTTGTACTGCATTCAGAACTAAAGTAGCTTTTAATCCCTCGGGATTGAAAGATACACTTTAATTCCTTATTTAAATCTAGTATAATCTTCTATCATTACGTTATTGTTCTTTGGAGTATAAAACACGACGTTCAGAATTAAAGTGCTCTTTAATCCCTTGGGATTAAATGATACACTTGAATTTCTTGGTGTATAATATACGTAGTATAATCTCGTTCTAGCATTACTATTAATCTCTTCTATTATTACGCTACTGTTCTTCAGAGTATAAAAACAGCGTTCAGAACGAAAGTTACTTTTAATCCCTCGAGATTAAATTATGCACTTGAGTTCCTTGGTTTACAATATATACGTAGTATAATCTCGTTTTATTATATAATTACGCTATTATTCTCGGAATATATAAAAACATCGTTCAGAACTAAAGTTCAGTTTAATCCCTCGGGATTAAATGATGCACTTTAATTTTTTGGTTTATGATATATTTGGTTTAGTATCGTTAGTATTAAATACACGTTGTTGATCGTAGTTTAAAAATAATGTTCAGAAATGAACTAAAATGCCTTTTAATCCCTCGGGATTAAATGCTACCAGTTTAGTTCCGTTGAATAATAGATCTAATGTAACCTCGTCCTCTCCTATAATTCCGTTGCTATTCAAGGTTTAAGTGTTTTTTAATCCCTTGTGATTAAATGATGCACTTGAGTTCCTTGACATATCTCTTCTAGTTCTCTTCTATAATTACGTTATTGTTCTTTGGAGTATAAAAAACAGCGTTCAAAATTAAAGTGCTCCTTAATCCCTTGGGATTAAATGATACACTTGAATTTCTTGGTTTACAATCTACGTAGTATAATCTCGTTCTATTATCTCTTCTATTATTACTATTAATCTTTTCTATTATTACGCCATTGTTCTTTGGAGTATAAAAAACAACGTTCAGAACTAAACTGCTCTTTAATCCCTTGGGATTAAATGATGCACTTGAGTTTCTTAGTTTATAGTACATCTGGTATAATCTCGTGCTCCTCTATTATTATTATTATTATTATTATTATTATTATTATTATTATTATTATGATTTTTCGGTGTATAGAAACATAATGTTCAGAACTAAAGTGCTTTTTAATCCCTTGGGATTAAATGATTCACTTGAGTTCCTAGGTTTATAATATATGTAGTATAATCTCATTCTATTATTACGCTATTGTTTTTCGAATGGTTAAAAACAGCGTTCAGAACTAAAATTATTTTTAATCCCTCGGGATTAAATGATGTACTTTAATTTCTTAAATTATAATACATCTAATTACGCCGTTGTTCATTGGAGTATAAAAAACAACGTTCAGAACTAAAGTGCTCTTTAATCCCTTGGGGATTAAATGATGCAGTTGAGTTCCTTGGTTTATAATATACGTAGTATAGCCCCGTTTTCTTCTATGGTTACGCTATTATTCTCGGAGTATAAAAAACGTTCAAAACTAAAGTTTCTTTTAATCCCCCGTGATCAAATGATGTACTTCAATATCTTAGATTATAATACATCTAATTACGCTATTGTTCTCGAAGTATAAAAAACAGCGTTCAGAACTAAAGTGTTCTTTAATCCCTTGGGATTAAATGATACACTTGAGTGCCTCGGTCTATAATATACGTTGTATAATCTCGTTCTTTTCTAGTATTACGCTATTGTTCTCCGGAGTATAAAAAACAGTGTTCAGAACTAAAGTTCCTTTTAATCCCTCGGAATTAAATGATGTATTTTAGTTCCTTAGATTATAATACATCTATTATAATCTCTTTCTCTTCCATAATTACGCTATTGTTCTCCGGAGTATAAAAAACTGTTCATAATTAAAGTACTCTTTAATCCCTTGGGATTAAATGATGCACTTGAGTGCCTTGGTCTATAATATACGTTGTATAATCTCGTCCTCTTCTATTATCACGCTATTGTTCTCCGGAGTATAAAAAACAGCGTTCAAAACTAAAGTTCCTTTTAATCCCTCGGGATTAAATGATGCACTTTAGTTCCTTAGTTCCATCTAGTATAATTTTGTTCTCTTCTATTAATTTACGCTAATATTCTCCGGAGTATAAAAAAACTGTTCAGAATTAAACTGCTCTTTAATCCCTTGGGATTAAATGATGCACTTGAGTGCCTTGGTCTAAAATATACGTTGTATAATCTCGTTCTCTTCTATTATTACGTTATTGTTCTTCGGAGTATAAAAAACAGCGTTCAGGTCAAAAGGTCATTTTAATCCCTCGGGATTAAATGAAACTCTTAAGTTCTTTAGTTTATTATATACGTAGTATAATTTCATTATTTTCTACAATTACGCTATTCTCCGGAGTATAAAAATCAGCGTTCAGAACTAAAATGCTCTAATCCCTTGGGATTAAATTATGTATTTGTGTTCCTTGGTTTATAATATACGTAGTATAATCTCTTTCTCTTCTATTATTACGTTACTGTTCTTCGGAGTACAAAAAACAGCGTTCATGCCTAAAGTTCCTTTTAATCCCTCGGGATTAAATGAAGCAGTTCAGTTCTTTAGTTTATAATATAGTTATAATATCATTCTTCTCTACAATTACGCTATTCTTTGGAGTATAAAAAACAGCGTTCAGAACTAAATTGGTCTTTAATCCCTTGGGATTAAACGATGCATTTAGTCAACTGGTCTATAATGAAGTATAGTCTTATTCCTATCTACTACAATCTTACCCTATGGTTCTGGTATGCAGTGACGGCGGTAAAGGCAGTTTCTGGGAATACGAAAGTTTTGAAATTTTCCCCACAGCTTTCTTCGCCAGTTTGACTGGTTTTCGGGGGTAGGTACACTATGTGGAACCTAGGCTGGTATCTGTGCATCGAATTCAGGATTATCTGTAAAGCAAAATTAACATGTAGGTACAATTTTCTTACGATAATCTTTTGCGTAATTCGTCCTCTACTTACATGTCCGTTGTCGTCTAGTTGATTGTTGGTTAGTTTGAGTTTGTCGAAGGACACGGTCTGTTTCATCCACTGCGCGCCCGTGGCAGGACTGTCGGGATGAACGTGTATCCTGGGGGGTGACACAGGGTCCGCCTTCCCGGCCACTACCCAGCTGGAGCTAATAAAGGCGATAAATTAATAAAAAAATAGCTTAGGACTTAATATATTACGCGGGTTCGTTTGTTTTCTGTGCTCACCTGTGGAAGGCGTATCTGTATCTCTTGTCGTCGACGGGCACGAAGTCCATCATCAGCATGTACTCCGAATGTAGGTCCAGGCCGCACAGCTTCACCTGGAAGGTGGGGAACATCCTTCTGCCGGCCTTGGTGACTATCATTTCCGTGCCAAGGGAGTGGAATTCGTCCCACAGGTGTTTCATTTCCAGAATGGCCCCCGCGTTGGATAGGGCGGGGGATATGGAGTTGATGCTGAAAATTAAATAAATTCCCAAATTAGTTTGTCGGTTTAGAGTGATAAAGGCGATATTAGGCGAAATTGTCAGGTTAAAATATTCAAATTTATATAAACTCACTAGTATCAGTTCGCATTATACAGAAGTTTTGAGTTTGAAATGACAGTTATAGAAAAGTGTTAGTTTAATAAGACAGGAGTACAAAAATTTTAGTTTAAATTTACCCTTTGTCGAGTTAAACTGTCATTTAAAGTCATTTTAACAATAAAATTTTAATTCGAAAGTAACACAAAAATTGTCCGTTTGAAAGTTCAAAGTTTAAAATGAGAGTTATAGGAAATTGTCAGTAGCATAAAAATTTTAGTTTAAAACAATATTGTATTAAAGTGCATTTATACAAAGTCGGTTATAAAAATTGTCCGTTTAAATTCGCAGTTGTACTACTGTCAGTTTAAAATGACAATTTGCGTTAAAGTTTTAATTTAATTAAGCCACATTCATCGTTAATTTGAAAGTTCTAAGTCTAAAATGAGAGTTATAGAAAATTGTCAGTTTAAGGTGAAAGTACCACAAAAATTTACAAATTTTAATTTACATTTACAATATTGTTAGGTTAAACAGAAATTGTCAGTTTAAACTGTCAGTTGTACTAAATTGTCAGTTTAAAGGAAAATTTGTTAGCTTTAAGTATAATGTAGAAAATTACAAAATAGATAGTGCAAAATGACAGATACGCCCATAAATCAGTATGCCTGCTGTTATAAAAATATTTTATGTTTTTTCTATTTCTTCGCGTCGATATTAACTGTTGTACAGGGTGTTCTGAAAAACAATAGCATAAATTCAGGGCTTGATAGAATTTCAAAAAATATTACAAGTTTTTCCTATGAACCATGGGCGTATCTTTTTCCGTTTTCAAGATACAGGACGTTGAAAATAATTTTTTAGAATCTAATTTCGGTCATATATATTCCACAAAATTCGACCGAATGAACTGAAATTTTGTTAAGTGGGGTTTCTGGGGATGCTAAATGCTCTGGAGTTATTTACTGTTGGCTATATCATACAGGGCGTTCAGTGTAGTACTCCGCGGGAATGTTCTAGGTTCTAACTTTTTTGAGGTTAATATTTTTGCCCCTTTTGTCACTTGCTGTTATGGAAATTTTTATTCTAAACAAAAAAGGTGCTCTTGTAAGAAGTGCTAATATTTGCCCGTTGTCGAGAAAAACCAGGCATAGAGCAGCAAAGTCAAGCAGCTAGTCCTCCATTTTCACGAATACAAAATCGAATTCTTTTTTGTAATGAAAACAATGTAAGTATTTTTCAAAGGTTCTGAATCGTCTTTTAGATGGTTGAAAACATCAATAATCTTTTGTCTCAGCTGTTCTGCTGAATTTATTTCTGTTTCACATACTTTTTGTTTGGCATATCTCCAAACTACATAATCAATAGGATTAAGGTCTGGTGACTTTGGAGGCCAGTGAATTGCAGCATCTGCACCTGGACCAATCCATCGCTCAGGAAAATTTTCATTAAGCCATTCTCTGCATATACTCGGGTAAAATGTGGTGGAGCGCCATCATGCATGAAATAATAATTATTTCTTGTTAATAGTGGACTATCATCTTCAATAATTTCGAACAGACTATTTCTTAAAAAATAAAGTGTTTATTTCTAATGGTGTACCCAAGGTCTCCACCAAAATTTAGCTCTGTCGGAATTTTCGTTATTTGAAATGTCTATTTTGACCGGACTAATACTACCTGCGTGACTTTGGCGCACTATGCCTGGTTTTTCTCGAAAACAGACAAATTTTGACACTTCTTACAAGAGCACCTTTTTTGTTTAGAATAAAATTTGCCATAAACAGCAAGTGACAAAAGGGGTAACAAGATTAACCTCAAAAAAGTTAGGACTTAAAATGTTCCCGAGGAGTATTGCACTGAACACCCTGTATGATGTAGCTAAAAAATTAATAACTCCAGAGTATTTAGCATCCCCAAAAACCCCGCATCACAAAATTTCAGTTCATTGGGTCGAATTTTGTGGAAGATAGGACCGAAACTAGATTCTAAAAAAATATTTTCAACGGCATGTTTCTTGAAAAGGGAAAAAGATACTCCCATGGTGCATAGGAACAACTTGTAATATTTTTTGAAATTCTATCAGGCCAGTGTTTTTCAGAACACCTTGTATATGCCATACATTGATACATGAGTACATTTATTAATAATTTACTTTTCATGACACTGAGTTTAGCATAAACAAATCTGCGCAAAACACCTGACACCACGTTTTCAATTACGGTAAACAAAAGTTTACTCGCCAGTCAAAGTCAAGGTTTCCAGCTAACAGCGTCTAATAATTTCGCAACAGCAGCAACAAAAGTGCACTCACCTGCCGTGGTTCTTGTTGTGCGCGTTGTTCCTGTTGTTGTTTTCGGTCGTCCTGGTGTCGCCCTCTTCTAAGGACAACGCGTCGGCTTGGTCTAGGGGGGAGTAGGCCTTCCTGTCTTTACCCGCGCTCTGCAGGCAGGCTAGAAAGTGAAAAATCGAACGGTCATTAGTAAAATCGCCGGCTTCAGATATATTTCAGAGTCACCACTAACTAAACAATGGCTAGGTAAGATGTAAATATTTTTTAATTCTCTGCGAGAACAGTAAATCAGTTTTTTTGTTTCGGTGTTCGGCGGTAAACATCGATTATTAAATGTTGAAATGTAATTTTTCAGGCGAGTGGAAAAGATCAGTGGCGTGCGAGCTTTACTGTAAAGTATACTGTCAATTGATTGATGGTGGTTTTTGTCTAAAACAACAACATTCCGTCCTTTACTTTGTTAAGTGGGATATTCAATATTTTTCGTGATATTTGAAAAATTGTCTTGGAAGAAGTGGATTTTTAAATTAAATAAAAATGTAGACGGAGATTTGTTCGAGAAACAAGGTCAATAGCATTTTGTTAACACTTTCTCTGTCAGAGTCATGAAAGTAGGAATTATCGAGTTTAAAATTATTTTCAAAATATTAACTTTAATTCTACAATGTGTTAACGCAATAAGTACTCAAAATTGGAGAGTATGTAAAACATGTCGAAATATGATGAAAGCCTTAGTAGAGTTTTTGTCAGTGGTGGCCCCTAAGGGAAATACAGCCCCTTGAAGGGGTAACTCAGGAAACAGTTTTTATTTCATAATTTCTAGATGGTTTAATATTAAATCATGAAATTTTGAGGTTATGTTACTATTTATATGCTTAATAATCGGCATAATATACAAATCAAAATTTGCTACAGGGGCATAAGGAAATGAGGAACCATGGGGCAAATTTTACAATTTTTTTTATATGCAATTTTTTCTACTTCCTGAACCGAAAATATGAAAATTTATCATAATTTGCATAAAAAAGGTACTCTTGTTAGATTTTAATGGCATGAGCCATTTCAATAATTCATTACCACCACTGACAAAAACTCTAGTAAGGTTTTCATCATATTTCGACATGTTTTACATACTCTCCAATTTTGAGTACTTATTTCGTCAACACCTTGCCTATTGCTCTGTTAATTTAAAATGGCGTATTTGCTATGTGAAAAGCCGTATCTACTAATATTTTTTTTGATTTGAAAACTTAAATACAGGGTGATTCAAAACTTAGTACAAAGAATTTAGGAGCGTATTTTTGAGGTCAAAATAACACTTTTTTTCTATAAACGTGTGTCCACAAATGCTTAGTTTTCGATATACAGAGTGTTCAAGTTTTTTATTTATTTTTTTTAAATAATTTCCAAACAGATTTGAATGTTGGCATAAAACTTAGGTACAGGGGTTCTTTAGGATGCTAAATGGAGAAAATCACTGCTGACTAAACGGTAGTATTATCACTAGTCAGCAGTGACTTTCTAGAAAAGGGTCATTACTGATTAGATAGTGAAAATAAATTTTAAAATTTTTCACTGTAAATAATAATAAAATTTGAAAATATGGTGGCATCAGCATCAATATCTCGGAAACTGTTGGCCTGAGAGATTTCGACCAAGTATACCTTTTTTGCTTAAAATTGATAAGGGAAACGCACTAATATGAAACGTCAATGTACAGGGTAGCAAAAAAGTTATGGCCAATTTAATTCAAGCGTACCTTATAGGTGGTGCCCTTTACAAGTAACGTCAAAACCAATGACATATTTAAATTTAGCATCCTAAAAAACCCCCGTTCCCCAAGTTTTATGCCAACATTCAAATTTGTTTGGAAATTATTCCTAAAAATTAAAAAAATAAATAAAAACTTTGACATCCTGTAAAAAACTTTATTCTACTAATTTTGCTGGTAACACGAGACACAACCGAACAGGAACTAGGTTTCAATACTTCTGATTCGTGCCTCAAAATGTTTTCGGTTTTTATCCTTGTCCCCAGGTAACTACTTTTATAACCCTATCCTAATTAATACTTATCCGGGTCATTACCTACTCGGTTTGTGCTTATGTACCCTAATAAACAACAACTAATTTATGTTTACAGCCTACTATTCTGATCTCATTTGCTAAATACATTTATTTGGGATAATCTCCGATAATTCAAAGTATAATTTATATGGCTGGTAAATTCCCAGAAAGCAAAATATATTTATTGGGGCAGTTACTAAGTGTAATGTAGCGTACCGCTACATATCAATAAAACAATGTTTTTAATTATAAATTTACTTTCCAAAAAAAAAATGTATTATTCACAGGGTCTTTAATACGGATTCTTCCATAGTTCTGGTAGTATGAATAATACAAAAAAGTGTTTCGAATCAAAGTTGCACCAAATAAAAATTTTTGGACTTTAAAATTATTTGCCATTATACAAGGTGTTTAATTTCTTCTGGGCGTCACCTAACATAGTTTTCTCAAATGGAATTCCCTGAATATTATTGCGTTTTTTAATTTCTCGTTGAATTTAATGCAGCATCCCTGCAGCGTTAGAAGTTTCAAATTTTGAATCATGGATAACTGGATTTTTTAAATAGAACTCTACGTAAAAATTGAACACTGAAATGTTTTACTGTATTTTGTTGTCATGTTTAATTTTGTAGATATTCGAAACTTTAGAGAATTTTATTAAATATGTACGTGAAATAATACCAAAACACACACACATTCAAAATTGTAATAATATACAGGGTGTTCAATTTTAAAATTTGAAGTTAAGTAACGCCTAGAAGAAATGTAACACCCTGTATAACGAAAAATAATTTTAAAATGTGAAGAAATATGTTTTATTAGCGCCTTACCGGGAACAGCTAGTTCCCTGGAAAAACTTTTCCGTTGCACTAACTTTTAACGTCTTAGTAGCAATTAATTTGGTGCGAAAATAAACAATAAAATAGACTAAATTCAGTTATTATCACGCTTTATTGCATTCTACATCACTAAACTACTATGTTTTATAATTACCAACTTAATATTTTTTCAAGTTTGACATTAGCTGTCAGATATTTCGACACCACTTTATTACTAAAAAAATTTAAATATGCAACTGAAATTTACTCAGCAACGTTCGTTTGGCATTGCTTTTGGCATTTGCATGTTTATTAGAAATATATTCTTCAGAAGACTGTTTAGATTAGATATTAATTAATTAATATGAACTAAGAAATTTTTATTAATCGATATATCAAAATATTTGAAATTGCTAGTTTTCCTGAAACGTCAACTTTGACAGTCTGTAACTCCGTTGTTTTTCAACGAATCTTGACGATTTTTTTTTAACTTAAAGCTCTTTTCATAACCTATGTAATAATATATAACTGTATAACGCTCGTGCGTCGTATATTTCATTTTGCAACTAAGGCTAAAAAATAAAAAAACTTTCCAGGTTGCAAATTTCAAATATAAAAAAAATGATAGATTTCAATGTATTATTATGAAATCTACCATGAAAAAAATCAGTGCGATTGTGGAAGATGCTCGAGATCGTCCAGACTAATAATTAGTTAATTTGTTTTATAAGGCCATAACTTGTAAACTATTCAACTTACTGATTCCAGATTATTAGACAGTGACAAAGAATGAGAGGATGCGATGCCAAAACGTTCTGGTAATAATAACGCAGTTTATAAATTTTTAATTCAAAAGTCATAAATAAATTTCTTCTGTTTATAACTTTTGATCTAATCGATATTTTTTGACGCTCGAGGGCTAGTTTTGTAGGCCTTTTGAAGACGAAAAAAAGTAGTTGAAGTACTGTTTTCTCGTGGAAGTGAACGGAAAAAAGTTATAAGCGAAAAACGTGAATTTACGTAAAAATTATACAATTAACCACCCTGTGAACAATCTTCCCCCCATTTTTATAACTGTGAAAACTAATATGTTATTGTACATAATCTTTAGTATCTATAGTGATAAATTCAACTTGCCGAAACAGAAAGTCGCGTCATTTCCCAGCTCTTTTTCCTGGTCTATATTTTAATAAAGGAAAAACCTTACAGCCTATTTGTGAGACATTGTTGATCTGTCGCGGAGATATTTTTGAAAATAAACTCAATTTCGGTCTTTAGAGTTTTGTTTTCCGAGATCCGCGTATTGTCCTTCTAAAAATACGTCCTCGGTCCCGAAAAAAAGGCGGCTAATTACCACGCGCCCGACGCTAAGGCATTCCAGTAAATCAAAGTGGCTCATTAGTTAAACACATTGCATATTTGTAAGCCCGTCATTTGATTTATATTGGCCGAAAAACGTATTTATGCGCAATGAAGTCAAACTAAATGATTAACGGGCGTCTTCGGCAAAAGGTGGTGCGTCCCGACGCCTCGCCCGTTGATATCTGATGCCTCTCTGGGGGTTTTTCAAGTAAATACCAGGAAAAATACCCTGGGGCGATAGCCTGGGTCAAGGTCTATAGGATATGTAAGGTTAACTCGAAAACTAATCGGGTAATGACGTCACGGTATTCCTTTGTCCATCCTCGTATACCCCATAACAAAATTGATGGGAATTTGTAGCTATTTATGTCGTTTCTATGAAGTCTAATTGTAAGAATAATTTTATAAAAAATACATACAGGGTGTTTTTAAATGTAGTAGTGTAGTGTAGTGAATGTAGAGCCAAAAATAAGAGGATTGAAGTAAAAATACCTTATATGAAAGTTGCACCCCTGAGGCGATATACCCTCTTAAAGGAGAGGGATTGAAATTCACATTTTAATTTTTTTCTTTAACATGAGGAATGCTAGAGACACGAAACTTGGTATGAGCATCCTACTAATAAAGAGACAACTTTCCAATATTTTTTCGATCATGGGCGTATTTTATAAAGAAGTGAAACAGTCAATCCCATTGCAATATTCTGAAATTTTTTATATGAAGCAAATTACTTATTTAAAAATATTTATTGGGAAGACTGATTTATTGCGCAACTTTTTTACCACTTGTAATTTTTCAATAAAACCGATAGTTTTCTAGGAAAAAAATTAGATGCGTCATCGTTCACTAAAGGGGTAATTGCGAAAATTTGTAAAAATAAAGTAGGCCGATGTCATAACAAATAAATTGTTATT